AACCAGCCGATTTTCGACTAAACTGTGTACCAAAATATACAGAAAAATAAAACTAAAATAGCGGTAAGTAAAATTAACAACAACAACAGCAAAGAAGGCTGGGGTCTATTCCAGTTAGGGGGGCATTGCGGTGCACAGTCTGCTCTAATGCCAGTTTGGCTCAAGGAGTCCTTTAAAGTTACGAGCTGCTATCAGCTTTTTTCCTACGTTGTTTCTTCTGGTTTTTGTATAATGTATGTGTTCTTGTGCTTTGTAACATAAACGTCAATGAAAAGTAATATTTACCTAGTGATCAGCTAGGACTAAGCCTAGGAAGGGGAGGAAATCCCTCCCCGAGAAAGCGAAGATTGCTCACGAACCCGGGGTTTTCCCTCCCTTCTGAGGCTTAGTCCTAAACCTTTATACTAGGGGAATATGCTATCCGTGGTTTTAAACTTGTTGAGCGCTCTAAACCGCATGCCCCCCCCCTAACTGGAATAGACCCGAAGCTGGAATAAAGAAGGCCGAAAAACTGAGAATGTGTGGAATCAAACAAACATATTCGACAAAGCAAATTTAAAAGTCGACATGAGGGCCTGCCAGTGTGCATTGACATTCTTATAGATTGACAATTAATTGATCTACAGATCCCGAAGCAGGTCCAGTCGTCCACTCGCAAAATCCGAACGAAGGGGTCACCTTGTGGGCTGGGGTCAAATTTTGGGGTTCAGCAAGCTTAACTACATTGGGAAAAGCCTGAAGGAGGTGAAAAGGGGATTGTACTTGACGGGTTTTTTGGTGAGCAGAAAGGAGGCATAGAGTTGACAAGATTATTGGATTGGCCGTTCCAGTTTCAGGATATCAATCTACACCCCCCCCGTCAATTCCAATTTGTCCTTCCTCCGCCGGGGAGCGGTCAACAGAATCGTCCGAGAGTGGCGTTGTCGCGCGCGGCCACTTACGCGATGTCGCAACGCGGCACCTTTCCGATGGGCGCGGCAATTTTTGAATTTGACGATTGGAGCCCACGATAATCTATGTACATAGAACGCGGATATCGGAGCGAATCGGGACGTTCTACCTTTACTCTTCATAAGAGGTGGTGCGAACAAGTTTGTTCCCAAAGTTTATTATCGTAACATTGAAAAAAGCGGAAAGAAGGACCCGAAAGAACTAAAACTACCCGCGCATTGATTGAAACTGAGTGTAAAGGGATGGGTCGACTTGGTGTCCCTTTACATAAAATTCAAATGACGCTCGCAGAAACTCGTCCACTGCAGTCGCGACGTCGCGACCACGACCAGTAGCGAGGGCTCCGGACGATTCTGTTGACATACCACCCACCCACTCCCCCCCCCCCACCACACCGCTTGACGGTTGAAAAAGTGAGTTGGGTGTGTCCACTGGTCTCAGATTCAAATGCTATAGCAACAGCCATGATCGTGAGGGTGGTGGTCGAAGTAGGAGGAGAGGTGTTATTGGGGAAGGGAGGGGGGCTCCCAAGACAAATGGTGGTGGTGGGGGGCGCATCGACACCCCCCAACGGGGTGAATAACGGTCGAGGATTTCCTCGACCATAGCTCTCTACCATGAGGTAAGCAAACCAGCCCTTTTGGCGTTTCGGCTGGGACCGTATGC